TGCCGCCCCTCCGGCGTGTTGCTAAGCAACCGTTTTCCCCAGCAACCGCGGCAACAACATGTCGGCCCCCGCCTGCCCCGGGCCCTGGTCGCCCGCGCTGGGTAGGGCCGCGAGCCGGGGGCGAGGGAGGGGGCGAGGGAAGGAGGGAAGCGGGATCGGGATCAGGGATCAGGGAGGGCTGCTCTGTTCATCCAGGGCCTCCGCGCAGGAGGATGGCGGCGCCGCCCGCGCCGGAGAGCATCTACAACCTGCTGCCCCGCCTGGAAGAGAGGCCGCCCCGGCCGCCCAGGTAGGTGCAGCGAGCGCTGCCGCCCCGCCGCGGCGCGGGGCCTCCTGAGTCACACGGGCAGACGATAAAGGCAGTAACAATAAACCCGATGTGTGCCTAATTGGTGCTCCTGCTAATGAGTCACGCTCACCACCGCGTAGGGGGTCACAGTCTGCTCCCATGACGCCATCCTTGATGCCAACCTGTACACTGACACAGCAGTGATAAAGCAACATTTTCCCACACAGAGAATCAGAGGGCGCCCAGAAGACTTCCTTGGGGATTTTTCTCAGTGTTATGCACACACTCCTGTACGGAGGGTGTCTTGTGGTATCGTTTCTTTTGCTGCCCACCCGCATCCCTTAAAAAAAAAGCTTTCTGCCCACCTAATATTAATCCTTTACAAACTTCATGCTAGTTCACTTTTGATGATTGTATAAACTTTTTTTTTCTAGTCCCTATTAATTTGTATGAAAAAAGGTGTTACACTTGACCATTTTTAGTGACGGGTTAACCTAGCTCATAGATAGCTCTAAATAGCTCATAATAGCTTCAAAATTGGTGAGAATACCAGTGACATTAGAACAAAGATAGTTATCGTTTTTCAGATAAAGGGGTTCAGACATGCCAGATTTCTTATTCTGAAACTTTTCTATGTAAAAATGCACTCTACATTTTGTTTCCAGTAAGAATGAAGAATGACAGACAGAGCAAAATGAAAACGGCACATTAAAACCCTCCTCAACTTAATGCCTTTCTGACATTTGGGTGCTACATGACAGTACTCCATCAGGTTCAGTTTAGGAAAGGGATTCTCTAGGCTGAATATAATCTTACTAAATTTGCCTCCTTATCATTTTCTATCTCCTCATTTCTACTCTTTTACTGCACTTCTTGCTTTGGTTCAGAGTGTGTCAAACATCCAGCTGGTGACAACAGCTCAAAACTGGCTAATATAATGAGCTGGCCATTTTTTACTACTGTGTACAAAATAAAGGATCATTTTTTAAGAGAAATCATAGATGTATTTTACTCCCAACTGACTGGTACTACTCATGGAACCAAAGCTGGCATCCCCAGCCTTTATCTCCCAGGAAGATGAGATCTAAGGAATAATAATTGTCTTCCTATAAATATTTTGCCTTTTCTCCCTTTGCCAAATGTTGAATGGATTAAGATCCTGAAGTCTATGACTGTTTTCCTCCTCCTGACCTCTAACTCTTTATTTTGGTGTACAGCAGCATTTTCCACTTTCTTGCCCATGTGTCAACATTTCCTGAAAAGATGCCACATCTATTCATTGGAAGAGCCTACGGTTGGCCACAAAGGCTGACTACACCCTTAAAAGACATTTTTAAACGTCTTTATTGTTGACTCATGAACTCCCTAAATCATTACCTTCTCATTCACTTTCTCATTACAGGAGTGTGTGAACCCAAGTACATTTAACTCCTCAAAAATAAATAAAAGTCATCATAAATTGCTACCTTTCTCTATGGTACAGCCGCAATGCCACAGCTGCCAAGTGGTCAGGAAGACGATAGTTTTGAATATGGTGTTTTTGTGTCTAATTCAGCAGCAGCAAGCCGTGAAAATACCAGAATAGAAATATCAAGGACTTCCTTACTTGTAATTAGAAATGTTTCTGGACTTATATATGATCTTATGTACATAATCCTCTTTCTGATTTTGAGGGCAAACCACAAGAAGAGAAGAAGTTCCACAGTTTAAATTGAGTCCTTTCACATTTGCTAATGCTACAAGCAAGTACAATCACATCTAGGTGACATGCACAGTTCATATACAAATATTTTTATCAGTGTTTCTACTATGACTCCCACTCACTGGTCTAGCATTTCTTCCTTCCTTTTCTCCTATTTCAGTAACATAGGCTGTGTTGCATATAATCCTTTTGGGCTTTTTTCCTTCTTTTCCTTACCTGAAAATGTGGTGTAGCTCTTCAGGAAATGCCCTAAGATTTCTGACACCTTCAGCAAAATGTCTGTGAGAGCCCAATTCCCAGTTCTCATGCAAGGTGCTGCTCACCAGCTAGTGATCAGCATTTGGCTTTTTTTGGAGTAAATGTTTGCCTACTTTTGATTAAAGGAGGAGCTACAGCACTGTTTGGCATTACTCCAAAGCAGCCATGTGTGCATGTAGCTTTCCTGAGCTGTTTTTGATTTCTGTGTTAGCCCCAAGTTAGTGGCAAAACCACCACAGATTACAATATTTCAGGATCAGATTTGTGTTCTGTAAGACTTATATAGAATTTGCTGTGCTATTTCAGAGCAGTCACCCCTCTAATCTCATCTCTTACATTAGCATGTGACAGATTGTTCAAGAGGAGGATTGAGGCAGTGATAGAGTGGACAGTAATGAAGTAACCTCACGATTAAAGACATTATGTCCAACTCTCCATCATAGGCTTTAATGTTTTCTGAACATGATGCTTTACATGTCTTTAAAATATATTTCATCTTATAGAATGAAACTATGAATGTTCTTATTATCAATACAGAACTCTTTTTCTGTTTGAAGCCAACTGAGTTTTTTTCTAATTAGAATGGAGTGTAAGGTTCCACCTTCTGCAATATGTTCAAGATGAGTTAATGGTTGCACCTTTCCCAGACCACAAATTTCCAAATGTAGAAAATCAAATGAAGCTGTCTTGCGATTTATATTTTTCTGTAGATACACAACAGCAGTATATTTTGGGTGCATTTTAGAACAAGATATGTAGCCCCTATGTAAATACATTTTTTAAATATTCATTAGAAATATTTTTAAAAGTCAGAAAGCCAAGGATGTAATGTATAACCTCATGGAAATGCTGAATCTGTGATTCTGACAGAGTTTTAATAAGCAACACTCAAAAACATTTTTCTCCAAAATGTAGGATTTTTCAGGATTCAGAAATAACTTTCTGATCTTTAACTTCTTTATGGCTATTTTTAACACCAAAGGTATGTATCAACCTTTAGACCGTCAATCAAACGTGAAATAGAGAAAAGTAAAGCTCAGTGGAAAACAATGGGACCAGCAAAAGTTGAAGTACCATCTCCAAAAAACTTTCTGCAGAAACATTCAAAGGAACCGAAGCTACCAGAGAGTAAGTTTTGACAGGAAATCCATGAAATGTAATATGTTTTTTGTTATTTTAGAAATGATAATATTAAAATTGAAAACAATATTGTTAATTATTTATAATCTGATTTTTATTAAAGTTTAAAATCATTTTGAGATGCTGGGGTGATTTCTATTCTTTTACTTTGATATTATTTCTCTACTTTAGAAAAATTATTTTTCTCAGTTTTGTTATCTGAAATACTGAAACAAACAACAGGAAGATTATATATGCAATTGGAAAATATTGTGACTAGAAAATATGGGAAGCCTTTACAGTTGTGTGATACAAAGCTTGCTGAAGTGAATAGAAAAAAAAATCATTAAATCTCTTTTTGCTGCAGCTGTTTAGATATTTCAGATGTACCAGTGATATGTTCTGCCCTGCTAATATTTAAATGAAGAATTATTTAATTTAGACCAATCTGCCTGGTATATGCAGACAACTCAATTGATAATATGGGCTATCCCGTGAGGTTTTGGAGGTTTGATGCCCCAAGGAATATGGATTGATTCACTAATAACCTTGAGCAGTCCATAAGATCCCTTTTTATTTACTTTCGCCATAGCATTAATGTTATCTGCTTTTAAATGGCCATATTTTGAGATTCAGTCTTCTGACATCTTTCTCAAACAAGCAGTTCATGTTGTTCCTACTTCAAGTTATTGATTCAGGGCTTCATACTAACGCGGGCTTTGGTGTTTGCATTAGGAGTCATTCTGCTAGGACTGCATAATGAATGACCTTACCACATCATAATTTCCATACAGACTTGTTACAGTGCCATTAGAGCCACATCATACAGACTTGTTACAGTGCCATTAGATCCTAATACATCTTGAAAAGGAAGTCTGTCACTAACTTGGAAAGTTCTTGCATCTTTGTTGGATGGAGTTTCCTGCATATCTTGGAAAGATTACCCTGCTTAATTACTTCTTTTAAGGCATCTGTCCTTTTAAGGCATGTGAACACACTTGCATAGCTAGCAATGTAACCAGTTACCAGTTGGATTATGGTATTTTATTTATGTTATCTGTACCATCTGCAAAACTGGATTTGATCCATCTAGTTAAAAAGTAGGTTGCAGGGACAGAACAGAAACAAAGTTTGATATTGTTTTTCACTGAAATCTAGGGTGTCCTGTGCAGTGATCAAACACCATTTCTTAGAAGAGGTGTAACCCAACATTCAGCTAACCTTTTTCTGTTACTACCCTCCTGCATTCAGTCTAACCCAGTTGCTGGCTCCACAAGAAGTGGTAGTTCCCAAAACAGCAAGGTTGAGCTAATGCTCACAGGAGCTTCAGAGGTCTTGGTTCCAAAAAGAGATCCTGAAAGAAATAGAGATTTAAGTCTACAGGGATACAGTACAGTAAGCCAGTAGGCTCTAAAAACAAAAACCGGGAAAGAACTGGTTCATGTCTTTACTGTCAGGAAATCATCCGTTGTAGGAAAAGCTCTGTCATGTGTGGTATTCCAGACGTATTTTCTGCCAAAGAATGAGAGCATAAGCGTAGAGAACCTGAATCAAGCTACTGCAGCTTCTTCTGAGTTATCTTTGATAAGGACAATTCAAGTTAGGCCTGTTGGGAAATGCACGAGAAATTGATTGTCCTTCATCACTCAGCTGAACAGGAGACTACTGACTTTCTGTCGAAGCCTGAGAGAAAAGATTACACAGAAAATGAAGGGTCTCTGTTCTCTGGAGAAAGGATTATGAGTAATTCTTTAAGAGCATCTCTGGTCAAAGTAGTTTTAATCACATCTGAAAGGAATCCCGAGCTTAAGAAGTAATGAGCGGCATATCCTATAGAAAGCCCCCCTAAAAGAACACAGTATTTCCTAGAGCGCAGAACTTCCATTATGTCCAACAAACATTCTAGTTTTCATCAGAGTACATCTCCAGTGAATTTTTATGTTTTAGATACAGTTGGTCTTTATTTTTTATGTAGTTTGGAACATAATTTCTCCCTCTTGGGAAATGTAAAAATATGGAACTGTAAAGTTCTTTATGATTATTGCTGAGGGTGTTTATGTGCTCAATTCACAGGAAAGAAAGAACAGGATAGTAGGAAAATGCCTGCATTAACCGTGCCGCGGAGGACAGATCACCCACTTATGGGAATTCAAAGTAAAAAGAATTTTATAAATGCAAATGCTGTTGCTGCTATCATGGGGTTGGCTAAAAAGCCTCAGCCTATTTATGTCGACAGAAGGCAGGGAGACAAACACCTGCTTGAAACTTCGGGACTTGTTCCGAAATACATTAAAAAAAAGGTAAGCTGTATTAAGTTCTAACTGAAATATCCATAGTAATGGCTGTTTTCCAGTTCACTACTGTATTCTCCTGTGAAATGGTTATGATTTTTTTTTGAGATGTTTAGATATTGTTTGTATTAGACCTTTGAAATTTGTCAAGGAGACATCATAAGCACTACCGTTGTAAAGGTGCAACTCTACTCTATATTCACTTGCTTATGTTGTCAGCAGAAGTTTGCCAAAATGCTGCTGCTAAAGCAAAAGCAAATGTGTTACATGAGAAGGAGGATTTAATGGAGAGATAAAGAGCTGGACTTGGTTCCTTTAGCTCACTCAAGGGTCCCACTAGTCAATAGCTGTCCCACCTGTAACCACGTGTCAGGCACGGGGCACCAGCTCCCCTCATGTCTCAGAGTACAAGAAGACGGAGTGTGACACCAACTAGAACCAACTCCCTGCTGAATGATTGCTTGGCAGCCTGCCTCACTGTCAGGATTTAGACCCGTATTTCCAAAACAGAAGCCCCATAGAAGATAAAGGGTGTGTGGCTAGAGCAGCTACAGTTACTAGTTAGTTGCTAGTTAGGAGTTCTGGTCCTCTTTATGGCATACAGTGTTTTAGCAGAAATAAGGAACATGAATTTCCAAAGGTAGAAGTTCACACCATCTACAAATGTGAAGTATTTCACTGTCATTAGTAGGTTTCAAACTCCTAACTCTGCCATCAATTCCTATAAACAGGTCTTTTGTTTTCTGGTTTCTCTTGTGTTTTGAGGTGTTAAACAAAACTGATGGAAATTTTTCTTGCTTTTTGATGAAACTACAGGGAGAATAATGTTTGATACTTCTGAGAACACAACAATTGAAGATCATATAGCTCTGTAGCAGAAAATTCCTTTTCAAACTATCCTTGTGAATGTAATATACTGTATATGACAAGTATGTCTCTGTTTTTTTTTTTTTTGAAAGCATACACAGACTTTTCCCTTACCCTTACAGGATTATGGTATTGTACCAAAATATGTAACACAGCGAAATGAAGAAATTAAGAGAGCTCAGAAAGAACATGAGGCACATGCCTTGGAATCTCTCAAAAAAAGAGCCATGAAACGGTTGTCTGACGAAGAAAGGGACAGTCTTCTGCAGGTGCCTAATTTGATTTAGTGTATATAGTAACATATGTAGAAGATTGATAAAGTAATGTAAATCCGTACAAAGAGTGTACTAGATTTTTAAGCAAGACGAATGGTCTGGCTGCTTTTTCACTAGATGGAGCTCTAGAACAGTTGTAAATTGAGCTGAATGGAGATGGTCTCGCAACAGTTACACACCAGCATTAGAAGTACTTCAGTTCTGTTAGATTCATATCCTCTTCACTCGCTTGGAAATGCAGTGAAGCTTTGAAGGGGTTCAGAGAAACAGCTGTATGGATGCAGAGACAGATCTGTCTCTGTTCTTCTGAATCATAGGAAAACACAAACTGCATCTTGTTTTTTTCCTGATACATAACACCATGACATTTGTTGACAGTACCTATCTTCACATCGTGACTTCCCTTGCTAAAGTATAAGATCATGCTGTGGCATGTGTTAGATATGGCAAAAAATGGAAAAGAGAATTCAATTGTAATGTATTTGTAGAATTATGAATAAAAATAATATTTTGTCTAGCTGTTTTGTACGGCCTTCCATACAGTACAGACTAAATAAGATCTTGCAAAGAGAAAAAATAGCATAAAAGAAGTAGAGAGGTAAAAAAAAAAACATTTTAAAACTATAGTAAGAAAAAAAAAAGCTGACATTTGAAACAAAGTAGATGATTGTACTACTCTATGAGCAAAGATAGACAGGCTGCTGGTCTGGGGTGTCAGAAGTGAATGGGAAAAGGGACCTTGCATCAACATCAACTGTGTCAAATTAATACTGTATGAAGAGATGAGAAGACAGGCACTGTTTTTCAGCCTGAACCACAGTTATTCAAGTGGTCAAATACTTTATATTTGATACTAACTGTATTTTGTAGTTATACCGCACGAATACCATGTACTTTAAAGAGACTTGCACTGATGTAATTTTGTGTTTATCAGCATATCTTTATGTAATCCAGTTCTTAAACTGCAATTTCTCATGACCACTTTTTAACTAAGTTTCCTATGAAAATAGTTATGCCTGTTTGTCGGTCTGTCCCTTAGTAACCGTTGATCTTAGCAACCATTTGCAGCAAATTAGCAGATTTGGGAATACAGTGTGGTTAGAGCAAGTATAGTTACTAGTTAGTTGCTAGTTAGTAGTTCTGATTCTCTTTATGGCATACATCTCCGAAATACTGCATTCCCGCAAAAGGCCAGCAAAATATCTAGAGACAAAACAATGCCTAACTCACTTGCAAAGATTAAAAGATTCATGAGGAAAAGGATAGATCCAAAATAGCCAGCACAATAATGTGCCTCTAGAGAAATACCCAAAAGTCTAGGAAGGAGTAAGGGAGAGAGATGAGGATACTGCAGTGGCAGCAATGTGAGAAACCTAACCCAAGGATGATGATGTCATGAGGAAGGCAGGGGAGAAGCTGGTGGTTCAGCAAGCTAAGTTTGCAGCTGAAATATATGTGAAACAAGGCACATGAGTTCAGCTGCTCACAGTTCTGTGTGCTGTCTGGAAAATAGTGTTTCACACTTTTCAAATACAAGAGTGAGCAGAAATGTCATCTTTGTTATTAATTAATTGTAATTAAACATTTTAGATTCTTTCTATTAACTCAGTATCTTATTTTTTTTCAAAATGTTCTTTCATTCTTGGGCCACACTATTTATACTGTTATGACGTCAAGAGAAATTAGTGTCCCCAGGGTATGTGGCTTCTACCCAGGGCTCAGATGTAGACACATGGGAATTCCTGTCTTTTAAAATAATTGTCTGTGCAAGTGCACACATGTGCACTCTCTGATTTTTAAAAATACATGGCAATAGATGTCTGAGAGCAAAATTGTGCCTTATGAACTTACAAAAATAAGTGGAAATCATTTGCGCCAACATTTTTTGAAATATCTCTCAGTTATGCTTATGTTGGTAGTGATTTTATGAGAGGAAAAGAGAATGTTGATAAATGCAGTACATATTTCTCACTGATCCAGCATGTATTAGAATTCCTTATATAGAGTTAGACATTCAGCTTATGATTTAGCCCATAGCAATAACAGTCAACATATTACATAGCTGTTGGAACAGCTGTGAGGGAGCTTGGGACTAAAGGAGTCACGATTTGCTTTTGATCTCTCCACTCTGCGGGGACAGAATAAATTGTGATGAGTAGAAGTTCTAATGTGCTTTCAAATGCTTTTTTTTTTTTCCAGTGGTTTCCAAACCAACTTTTATTAATGTAAACAGAGAAGAATTATCAAAAAAGTAGAGAATGACTCTTCTATGAAAGTTTCAGAAGTACTTTATTTGTTTTCATGACTACATATTTGTAAAGTGTAACTTTACAAATGATTCTTAATACTAGGAGCATTCTTTGAGTACCTTACAGCTTTTGTTTGCAAAGACAAATAGCATCATAAGACAGTAAATAAATATTGCTCTTAGATTCATATATTAAGGCAGGGGGGTTCAATTTATTTAGAAAATTGCATATGAAGATTATTGGAATAACAATTACAGGCAAAATACTTTGTCAAGCCTCAGCATGAATGCACAAAGCACGAACTGTTATGCAACAAATAGTCTGCTTTGAATCAGTAAAATATTAGTTCACATTAAAATGGATGTTTTGCTTAGTTGGCATTTGCAGGGAGCTTTTTCTTTTCCTTTGTGAATAACTAGTCAGTATTCTGGGAGAAAAGGTTGTTAGTAATAGTGGAGAAGAAGGACATGTTAGTTTGAAGTAATAAAATGATTATATGGAGGAACGAGAGAATGGCAATTCATCTGTTCAACAGATGAAAGTGAAGGGAAATCATAATGTTTCATAAAATCATTGTATTAGTATTGTATTGTGTTATTAAAATATCATTTTTTGCTATAAAGCAGAGTTAAGAACTTGAGTTCCCAGGAGAATATTTTTAGACCTTAATTTTTGAAGATACTTTGTGACCTCCCCTGGAGAAACAACTGAAAGCCAAAAAAAAAGAAGTAGCTGTTTTGGAAAAAATGTTCTCCTGTTGATGACTGGGGGGTTCTATTATTTGCTGATTGTTGTATGAGCTCCTTGTGGCACATGTGCTTATGAAGTTCATCTATGGAATTTTCTTGAGGATGTTTCATGTATTGAACAGTTTGATATTTGCATGCTTGGGATTTAGGTTTTCATCATTCTCTCTTCCTTGAAGAGCAAAAGCGGGGAGCAAATTAGTTAACATGATTGCGCATTTTCCATATTTATATTCTTATATATTTATCTATTGTTTTAACATTTCAATGACAAAATCAATATTAAAAGAATCAAAATAGCTTGTGTATATTGTTCTTAATGAAGTACGTTTTTCTAATATTTCTTTTTCATGTAACGGCTCTAGGGTCTGAAAAAGAATTGGGAAGAGGTTCATCATGAGTTCCAGTGTCTTTCTGTAGATATAGACACCATACCCAAGAAGATGCATAAAGAAAAACTGGAATCGCAGATGAAACAACTGGAACATGACATAGATGTCATCGAAAAGCACAAAGTTATCTACATTGCAAATGAGTAAGAACTATTAAGTGCTTACTATGAGTAGGGACTATTTTGCAAGTATTGCCTCTTTCTTCCTTTTCTCTTTCTATATCACTGCCTTTCCAAAAAAAAAAAAAAAAAGGAAACAACAACAACAAAAATGTTTAGAAGACATGAGTTATTCAGAAGGAGAAAATATTCAGCTAATACAAGTATATAGTTTCTTACAAAAGTTGTTACACATAGCTAATTCTTATCTGTATAATTTACAAAGCTTTTTTTCAAATAAAAATCTTAACTTTCAGAGTAGAAACAAGATTTTCATATTATTCTTTGTAGTTTTTACTAACTACTAAGTTTCTATGAACATCATAAGCTAAGCGTAAAAAAGTATAATTTCTTATGTTTGGAACACTTTTTCCATGTAACAGACAAAACTAAGTGAACTGACTGTATATTGAAGAAAACTTAAGTATGAAAATGTGAAACATTTGTAATTCTCCAAGAATAGCTACTCTGTGTATTGTAATTGTCAGAATGAAACAGGGAAGGATACAAATGCAGTGCAGTCCAACAGGATAGAGTGTCTATAGGCGATGCACTTGTTCAGTGGAGGAGGTTTTCCCTGGTGCCTTTCAACAGCACTATTGCAGCTTTTGCACAGCCTCGCAGAGCCCTTTGCAGACAGCTTTGCTGCCACACGGCATGTTCTGCTTTTGGTATGTGTGAATAGTGCCACTTTCTATTTATTTTGATGCATATTTTATGAGAGAATTATCAACACTTCTGGTTATGGAAAATATGTAATGAAAACCATTGAAAATACAGACACAGGAAGAACATTCTTATCCTTTAACTCTTTCTGTAAAGATTGACAAAATAAATATAATGTTCATGAAGTGCCTTTGATTGAAGGTGTGGAAATGCTGAATCAACTAACACACACTGTCAGTATAACTAAAGCAAGAGGAGGAATAAACTCATTTGTTGTGATAAAATTGTCCATTCATAAAGGGTACTAATCATAACCGAAGCAAGTCTCAAACTGTTTTTATAGGCCAGTTTTCAGATCTGCAGGTCCTCACGGTGCTAATCTGTTTCTGTGCCTAGAGCTCTCCTGGAATCGGGTCAGGCTGAGACCCAGGGTGCAGACCTGAGAACAGAACTTTTGCTCTAATGTTTTCAAATAAAATGAAATTACAGCAGTTAAAAGGAAAATAAACTGTCTTCTTGTTTGTTGGTTTGGTTGTTTAATATAAGTTCTCAGAAATTTCTGAACTCCTCAATTTAACATTAAGAAGCCTCTTGTAACTTTGATTTTATTAATAGATCGGTTTAGTATTGGAAATTTCCAGCCTCCCCATCTCTACTACAGCATTTTAACTGATAGCAAGCTGCTAGAGGTTTTACTAAAGTTCGGAAACGTATTCACAAAGCTAGCTGAGGTGTCTTCTGGATTGATGCAGTTCAAACCTGTTGATACCAGTAGGAACCTTCCTACTGACTGTAATCAGTTGATAGATGAGTAAAAAAAGATACTGATGTGAGAGTAAAAAACACCATTGATCAGATGCTTTCTTGCAGACAACTGCATTTAGAATAGATAGGTGAACATTATTTTTCTACACTTGGCCTCTTCACATTATAATTTTCAGATGCTTCATCTTCACACACAGGCAATAATTCCAGCCCTAGTTGGAATAGGATTTGGTCCACAAAGTCAATACATTCTTGCAAATACGAAAGTTACATTTTAACAGAATTGTGTATTGTGCTAACTTCACAACAGAACTAAGTGAGGTAGAGTGAGGACTTGTGACTTTCCCCAGTGAAGTTTGGTCCATATTCTGCAAAACCAGTCTTCATTATGGAAGCTCTGGCCACAGACTAAAAACAGTATTACCTGCTCCAACATCCTCTAAATTCACTGGTTAGCTTCTAATAATCAATGAAATAACAAAAGAAAATCCTCTAAATTCTTCCAGTGCTTTATAATCATTTTCTCAAACCGACACTGTTAAATGGTCAATATTAAGTTCCAGAGCAATCCTAAAGCATACACTAAACTGGGTATAAACATCTTATTGTTCACCAAGAGCTATGTTGCCACAACCTGAAACCATTTCCTGTTGTAAGTTGTGCATGACAAAACTGTGTACCTATTTTTTAAAAATAGCAACATGAAATTATGATAAACATCTGCCTGGCTGTCCTTCAGAATGGAGCTATTTACATTCAGGAAGCAAGGAACCAGCTATGGCATCATCGCAAATGCAGGGAGTTCCTGACTGTATCGTTGGGATAGAGCGGCCGGGAGCAGCGCGGATCTCGTACAGGCACATGGCCTCCATGTGGCTCCTCTCAAATCCCTGTGGATTCCTGGGATCTGCCTGCACTCCTGGGGACTAAGCCTGAGGAGGGCTGCTCACCACCTCTCCTCCCCAACAGAATAGGAAGGTAGAAAATTGCTGTGCGAAATAGTATGGGAGAAAGTTCTTACAAACTTCATTTTCATCAGTCTCTGCACGGGGGTTTTCTTACAGGAGGATGTGTTATAGCCCTCTGTATATTTTTGTAAAAAATTGGCATTACCAACTGCTGTTGTGATCACTCTGCCACAAAGTTAAAATCTAGCCCTTTCCCTGGCATATGTTTCAGGGAAAACAACAGATCTAACAATTTTGGTGCTAATGAAGACAGATATCTTTCAGATAAGAAAACTGCACATATATGCAGATTAATGGGAGTCCTAGGCAAAAACCAAACTGAAGTCGGTGCTTTAATCATCTGCTTTATGATGCTTATAATATTAATAATATAATTATAGGAGAGACGGATGGCAAAACATACAATTAGGGACGCCTGCCATTTCCCACGGCCGGGGAGCCGGCTGCTGAGGCCTGCAGCTCATTGGGATCCTTCCGCCCCGTGACTAGAGGAGTCTCTAGCCTGGCCAGCCGGAGGAGGATCCGCTGCGAGCGGAGGAGGTCCGAGGTAGCGATGTCGAGCGTACCTGGCTCTTGAATTGCTAGACTGCACTTTTTTAATTCTGCCCTCTCCCAGCTTTTTTTTTCTCTCTCTCTCTCTCTCTCTCTCTTTTTTTTCTCTCTCTCTCTCTCTTTTTTTTTTTTTTTTTTTTGTAACTTACTCTTTTATGTAAGTCAGAGTCAGAATAATTCAGTAGCTCAGTCCTCCAGGCTAAGCAGTGGCACAGTGGGATTAAAGGGTGAGTTGTGTTTCTTGTTTGTATTGTCTTCTCTTAACTGTGTTTGAAGGGTGTTCAGAGAAACCATCATGACTGCTATCTCACCAAGTTACATATACATATGTAAAAAAAAAAAAAAAAAAACTTACTCTTTTTCATATTATGAAACTGCCTGTAGCATACGCTTGCTGATAGCAGGCATAGCCAGCGAGTAGACTGCGTTTGCGGTAACTGTTCTTGATGTAGCTGCAAGGATGAAGTCCTTTCCACCCAACCTCTCTGAGGAGCCAGCGTTGTTAACTCCTCATTCCATGTTTTCCCTGACACTGACTGCACAGTGTGGAACAGTTCACACGGACTTGTGAACCCTGGGGTGACTTAGTGTTTCAGATGCTTCCTTCACTGTTCCTTTGCAACGATGCTCTAAGGAGATTCGCCGAGAGCCCAGCAGCAGGCCTATGCTGTCCCCTTGAGTTTCCCTCACATTCTGTAGCCCTTGGTCATTTCTTGTCTTAACTCCCAATCTAAGCATATCTGAAGCATCTTCTTCTCTCTTTGCACAGTGTTTGGCACATGATAACATTTTTGTTCATAAGTAGAGCTCCTAGGTGCTCATAATAACAATAAATATGATAATCTTGGTATAAATCCATACCATGCCATACAGGTGGTGAACTGAAGTTGTGTAGTAAAGGCATCTGTTTCTCAGGAACTTGGATCTCATTTGCTTTAGTAGTTGGGAAGTAGCTAAAGAATTCAAGAAGTGAAATGAAATTTAAGGCATTTAACTAATTCCCTAGGCCAATAAGACTTACTCATGTCTTTGTCACAAAATTCCTTTGAAATGCAGTGATAAGTGCCTTATACCTACCTTTTTGCTGTTAGTCATAAATACTGTATTTCTCAGCTTCCTAACTCCCGCATTTTGAACATATATGTGATAAATACAGGATATGTGTGCCTGAAGTTAGTAGAAGCTATTCTTTGAACACAGAAAGTACTAGATAATAGTTTGAATTTCTAAATTTAATGTTTTCTAAAATGGTCCCTCAAAACTCCTGAAATCAGTGTTGTTATGTTAATCTCATTAGAGATTAACAGAGATAAAAAATTCAGGTTGCCCTCTCATTCACAGAGCAGTTGTAAACTATAAGCTAGACTTCTCCATTATTACTTTGAGGACCATATTAAAGTTCAGGAACCTGCAGGAAAAAAAATCAGTGGTTCACAGTGCCTAGGGCCACATGCTGAACAAAGAAGCAGCAACCACGTCTTGGTATTTGCTTAGAAGGAATGGTCTGTTTCGTACACAGGATGATTAAATTGGAAAACGGTCTCAATGCAGCATTCCAGCACTCTTGGGGAGCGGGCCGTTTTGTGCAGTGGGAGCTCAGCACTTGGCCGGCCACGCACATGTCACATTGCAGCCCTACGGGAGAACTTGCTGGACCAGATTCTGCTGCTTTTCAATACTCTCTTGTACTGGTCTGTTTATTCAGGGCACGCTGTGAATTATACAAAATTACATCAAAGAGGACTGAGCTGTTTTGGCAGAGAAAAAAAAATCAATCCATAAACTGTTATCCACTTACTTGTTGGAAACATGCAGAATTCCTCTGTTTTGCAGATTTTGCTCAAATTTGCTGTAACTTAAAAAAGTTGGAGGGAAGCCAAATGAATAACATCCTTAAAAACAAAGCAAATTTACACTTTAAATTTCCATTTAAATGAAATTTACAATTTTCTGACTATTTTTTTCATGGCCATGAGTGACAAATTTGTCACAGCATATAACATAAACAGCGTTTCTTGATAATGACATATTCAAATGTGTATACTTTTAATTGGCTGGTTGGGGTGATACTTCCATGCTACTATGAAGAAAATAAACATTATTCTAGTATTAAAGGACAAAAGGAAACT